CAAAATCGATTGAAATGGGCCAAGGACAATATGAAGATTGACTTATCTAAAGTTTTGTCCACAGACGAAACTCGAGCAACACTTGATGGGCCAGATAGATGGTGCAAAGGCTGGGTAATGAACGAACAGAATCGGCATCAGCGTTTGAGACGCCAACAAGGCGGTGGAGGCATAATGATCTGGGGTGGTATTATTGGAAAAACATTAGTGGGCCAGATGGCGTCAAAATGACTGCTGATGCATACATAGCGTTTATGAAGGAGCATCTTGAACCGTGGATGAAAAGGCAAAGAGTTTTTTTCAGAAGGGCCTTTGTTTTTATGCAAGATAATGCTCCCTCACATGCTGCTCACAAGACTACTGAATATTTGAAACAGTTAGGCTTCAATGGACCTAAAAAAATGAAGTGGCCAGCAAATTCTCCGGATTTTGAACCCAATCGAAAACCTTTGGAGCATCATGAAGGAAGACTGTACGCCAACGGATGACAATTCAGGAGCAACGCTGAGTTGTGGGAAGCAATTCTTGACATATCTCGCGGCATTACAGCAGATGACATCCTACAATTAACAAATTTTATGGATCGTCGACTTTTTCAAGTAATTTCAAAACAGGGAAAGCACATTCCTATTAATTTGTTTAAAACTGTGCCTTTGTTTGTATCTGTTATTATTTGTTTGATTATCTTATTTATTAGCTTCTTTTGATCATAAACATTCACGTGCAACATTAATAAACGTTTTGTTTGCTCAATTCTGGAATTTTACTAAACCTTTCTAATAATTTGGCACGCTCAAATCACCGTGCTGATAACAAATATGGCGCCAGTTTGTTTACATTGCGCAGATCAGTACGAAAATTTCAGTGATTGCGCAGTTCCATGTTGCCAACATTGTGTGAATGTTTTGTGTGAATTGATTGGAGGGTTTTTGAAATATTAGAAATAAATTTATCTCGATAATAATTTTACACGCAGTATATATATATATATATATATATATATATATATATATATATATATATATATATATATTTTTACAAACACTTTTGTTTTTGAATTTAAGGTCGTTCAAAGTTTAATAAAAAAAGAAAAATATACAACTTTTACTGTGGTATATATTTTCTCTTTGACAGATGTCATTATACTGGCGGTCCTTAGACAAGAAAATGTATGTGTAGCAATCCCACTGGAGAAAAAAAAAAATTTTGTCTCAAGAATTTAGTTTCAATTAATAAATGTCCTTAAAAGATAAAATAAATATTTTGTCTACATGTCTACTGATTCTAAAGTCCAAAGGTAACTTGTATTATATCTCGTGATGTCTGAATAAATGATTCATTGAAATTTCAATATTTATACAATTTTTTCTCTCCTGGCCAACCTTTTTTCTGTGACTGATTCTGTAATATATGCATATAGACACAAATGATTTCTACGATGTAAAAATGATTTCGGGCAATGACTGAATCATATTTTTGCTGGGGTAAGGAGCGAAAAAAAAATCGATGTATAAAAATTTAGCTGGCTGTCTGATTTTTTATTTTTTCTAAAAAAATAAAGATATTATATATATATATATATATATATATATATAAATATATATATATATATATATATTTGTTTAAATTTGGAAGTTATAAGATTCCATGTACGGAGCTATTTCACCATAACCCCTTTAACAGGGTTCTGGATCATCAGACTTTAAAACAAAAAGCTGAAATGAAAAAAAAAAATAAAAATTCATAATTTTTGACAGACCTCATTATATATAACGTTATATAGAATAGAATGATAAATTGAGGTAGGGAGAGGAGGATATGAGTCTGTCTTATATATCTTAAAAATAAATTGTTTTTTTATAAATAGTTACGTTTGCCAAATGTTGCTCAAATTTAAATTTTATATTCTAGATATAGATGGCTCAAAATTTTGAAAAAAAAAGAACGCCATTAAAGGAAGAAGTTACAACAAAGTTAAATCAATTACAGGAATCAATTTCATAAAAATTCTTAATCATGCTTTGTTAAGAAATGTTAACTTTAACGTTTATATTTGGGAGGTTAAGGTTTGATAAATATCTAAATGTTAAAACAATCTACGAAAAATTAATTTGAAATTTGGTGAAATTAATTTTTTTCTTTATGTATGTATTTCCCGTAACTATGTATTATTTAAATAACATAAAATTTTTTATTTAAATATCAATAATATTTAAATGATCATTTTTTTATAAAATTGGAATTTTAAATATGATCAAATTTATCAAACCAACGAATTCAAAAAGAAAACAGAAAAAAAAACAACTCCGGAGCGTGAAAAAATAGAATCTAAGAGAGTTTTTTATGAGATATTGGGACGAATGTTGGAGCTAAATCTTAGAGTTTAACAGACGTTTAAGTTATATGGGAGTTAAAAAAACTTATTCTCAAGAAACATTTTCCTCTCTCAAAGGTGAGTAACACAAAGAGAAACATAAATGTTGTCGGATGACTAATACATTAAAGATTACTAGAGAAAATTGACATACACAAATAAAAAATCTAATGTTGTTTTATCAGAATAAGATTTTTTAAAGGGAAACAAGAGGAGGGGACATTGAAATGGGTTTGTGAAACTAAAATTTCAAAGGACATAAAAAAAATTGATAATATTATAATTTGAGAAAACAATTTGCAAAATTAATATCGACTACAGGTTACAAATCAAATATAAACATATAAAAATAAATATAAATTTGAATTATGTTCAAAGACACATGCAAATATACACATACGCAGTAACATATACACGTATATACATACACATAAATTCGTTTACTAACATTATTTTACATATACCCATGTAAAAACATACATATATCCACATATACACATAAACACATAGTTTACATACATACACACATATATAAATATATATATATATATATATATATATATATATATATATATATATATATATATATATATATATATTAAATATACATATATCTGGTTCAATCAGCTCTATCTCAGATACTGAGACATTTCTAATAAATTACTTATATATATATAAATAATTATATTTTATATATATACATAAAAAAACACACACACAATTCATTATTCAATCACACACACACACATTTAAATATATATATATATATATACATATATATATACCGGCATTTTTACATACATATATATCTATAATAACATATATAACACACACACATATATATATATATATATATATCCATATACCAATATTTTTTATACATACATTACGTGCACAATTTAACACACACACATATATATATAATATATATGCACATATATATGTTTGACATTTAAATTTGTGTGTATATGTGAACAAGAGACACACATGACTGGAACAAATATATATATATATATATATATATATATATATATATATATATGAATATATATATATATATATTCTTAATTCGTATTGGTTTAAATTTTCTTTTAACATTCAATGATTATAATTTATGTAATAATTTATTAGGTCACATATCAAATGTGACCTCAACTTTTGAAGAAAAGAAATATTTTATGTAAAAATTTAGAAAAATATCTTAATGAGGAAATAAATATATAGTCATTAATTTAGGTCGTTTATTTTTTAATTTATTTAAAATAATAAATGAATTTAGTGTTACATTGATAAAAAAATACATTACAATCTTTGCAATCAAAAAAACATCAAATGCAAACCCTTTTTTTTACCTTATATATATATATATATATATATATATATATATATATATATATATATATATATATATATATTATATATATGTAAAAAACACCCTTTCTGTAATATGTATATTATGATTTTATATATGTTATTGTGTATGGATATATTCGCATGTGTTTTTGAACATAGAAAAATAGTTCCTTGCTGGATTAGATAATCGTTATATTTATTTTTTATATGTTTATATTTTGATTAAAAATGTATTCGATATTAATTTTGTCAAATTTTCTCAATTCAGGGCAGTTCCCCTTTCAAAAAAAAAAACTTTTTTTAAACTTTCATAAAGGATTGAAATAATCATCCCCACCTCGTTTTCCCTCCTCTTATTCTAACATTAGATTAACTATATAAATATAAATATGAATGTCACCACTTTTTTTAGGATATAGTTGATTTTTAAATTTTTTTTTTGAATTTGTAGATCTGATGAATTGATCGTATTTACGATTCCAATGGAATAAATTATGACCATGGAATATTGTGTTTAAGCCTTTTTATTATATCCTTACTCTGTATTGGACATTGAGTTCTATCTGGATTCTTCTTGGAATTATTATTCTAAAATTCCTAAGCACTTATATTATTTATATATTTTGCATATGTATGTATATTTTACCAATAATATTATATTGATTATTCATATCTATATAATTTAATAATAATATATATATATATATATATATATATATATATATATATATATATGTGTTTATGAATAAATATATATATATATATAAATATATATATATATATATATATATATATATATATATATATATATATATATATATATATATATATTTATATAAAAAAGGAATTTTCAGAGTTGAATCAGCCAAGGAAACAGCAGTATCAAAAATTGCATCAATAAACGTGAGAAATAATAAAAATAAAATAAAAATAATTTAGATTTATATTTTTAACTTTAAAATTAGGTGACCATATATATATATTGACATCGGTTTTTATATGAAAAATCTCTTCGGCGATATATTTAAAAATGACCACTTTAACGCTTTATTAAAAAAAAAAAACCCAATTTTTTAATGCTACATAATTTTCTGCCCATTTAAAATTATACAGGCGCATCATGATTGAAAGTGAAACAAGACATTGAGTGTGATGGAAAGGAAGGTCAAAAAGATGTTTAAGAAAAGAAAAGAATAGAAAGGACGGTAATGCCAAATGTATACAGTAAACAGGGAAAGGCAAACATATCAATTAATTGTTATGGAGGATGTAGATCCAAAGTGGTGTTCTATCTATCTATCTATCTATCTATCTATCTATCTATCTATCTATCTATGAAAGAAAAATACAGAAAAAACAAAAATCTGAATATGCATTTATGTAGTATTAATGTTAAAATAAAGTCGACGTCGGACGTTTCGGTCTATTTAAGACCATCTTCATGGACATTTTAATTTAAACATAATTAACATTATAACTTATAAAAATTTTAACACAAAAGACGATGGACATAAGAGCCCAACTAATTTAAACAGATAACTGAAATTTTATACAGATCAGCGTTCTGTTTAAATATGATCACGTAGTCTATCTATCTATACTTTTCTGTATATTCATAGCTATCTATCTATCTATCTATCTATCTATACTTTTCTGTATATTCATATCTATCTATCTATCTATCTATCTATCTATCTATCTATGTCTGTTCTTGCTCTCAGATGTGCGTGTATACTGATCTTACTCGTAGTCTTCTGTATCCATATTTATCGATAGATGATAGAAGATATATATATATATATATATATATATATAGTGAAAGGAAGAAAGAGAGAAAGAGAATTAATACAAGTAAAAGTTTGTAAAAGTAAAAAGAAGTGTTTTGGCTACAATCTTGCACACAATATATTAAGGGAAACATGCAAACATGAAAACATGCAAAATCGTATCTATGAACACAAAAGGGACATTATACATAAGAATTTATCAAGTTCAACCATAATAAATAGAATTAATATGTCAACGTTAAATAATTGTTTAGGGTTGGGGGGGAGAAGAATGAGGGTTACACCTCTACGTGGAAAAGTTCGTAGATGATTTTGGATTAATTATCTATCTTATCTAATTTCTCGCGCGCGTGTTTGCGTAGTTAAACAGCAGATCAAAATAGGAAGTAATGATGGAAAAAATGAAAAAAAAAAAAAAAAAAAAATGAAAAAAAATTCCGAACATTTTTTGATGGACAGAAAAAAAAAACGAAGGAAAAATTTAAAAAAATACAATTAACAACCACACTGACGTATAAACACTGGAACGTCAATTTTGATTACAATTTTAGGTAGAGACTGATTTTTGTTGTTTTTTGTTTGTTTTTTTTTTTTTTTTTTTTTTTTACAAAGGTTTTAGAACCATCTGCAAAAATATATTGTTGACTTTCATTGGAACGCTTACTGTTATATGTCTGGCACCCTGTTGGTCACGTGGAAGCCTGAATTTGCGTACGGGAACGCCATGAAAAATTGTTTTGAAAACGAAAGACTGACGACATTTTGTGATGAGGCATTCCCACTTTGATTTCTGTGTAATCATAGCGAGTTGAACATTTCTCTGACTATGGTTTTGAATGCCTTCAAATGTTTTAATTTTCGAAATTTTTTTGTTAATCGAAATTAACTGACAAATAATTGTATTGTTTATTTTAACATAACATAGTGTGGAATTTTTTTAATTGAAAAAATTCGTTTTTTTTTTTTTATTTTCATTGGTTGAATAACTAACGTAAGTTTGGGAGTTATTTTTTGTGAAAAATTAAGTTAATTAATAGTTTGAGGAAATAAGTAAGAAATGGTCTTAGATTTCCTAATGTGTTTGTGTCTGTATCCTGGGTGAGGGAAATTCTTCCCTCTGGCTATATAGTTAGGGTAGAGTGGGAGCATTATACTATGAAGTATTTACTATCGAATGAATATATATATAAAATATATGGGGTAAAAGAAAGGGTTTGACGACCCAAAAATTTTATCAAATGGCTCGAATTAGAATGCCAGGTCGAGGTAGACGACTAAGGGAAGTAAACCCTTGTAGCCATGGTACAGCTAGTAATGCATTAGTTAGGAGGTGCTGAGCGGGTGGCGTTGTTTCCTGATAGGGGCAGCCAGAGTTAAAAGTGGAGATGATACTAGTTGAATTATGACACACCGATGCTGATGGTTAATAATAGTGATTATAGAAAATCCATGGTGGTAAAATTTGTGAAAATTTGTACGAGTAAATCTGGTAATACGCAAATACAAAAATAATTAATTGGTTGTGGTTGAATAAATAGTGTGATAATGGACCGTGTGTACTGTGTTATGTGAGTAGGAAAAAAGTATGGACCATAGTATATTTAAAGTATAAAATATATGACTCAAATATGGAATTGGTTGACGCTGTGCATGGGGCTTTTTGACATGCAGTTCGTGATTTTGGGACCAGTATTTTTTTTTTGTTTATTATATGTACATTTCGTGTAGTCTCAAGTGAAGAGACAAGGAATTTTGTTCCCCACCCCCCAGAAATATTAGATTGCAGAGATGGTACCTGCTGACCTAGGTAAAGGAGACATTGGAGAGGTCAAAGTTCAAAGTATCGATTAATAAATATATTATGCTTCCATTTCATCGCGGAAATTCAATATAGACAATGTTGATGTCCTTAAACAGCGTTATTTTGTGAGTTAGTTTTAAATATTTCAAATTCTAAATTGTGCTGATAGGACTCGCCTGGATTATACCAACAGATTTACTATATATATATGCGTATAAATATATATATATATATATATATATATATATATATATGTGTGTGTGTGTGTGTGTGTGTGTGTCTGTGTGTGTCTGTCTGTGTCTGAAAATATATGAAATATATATATATATATATATATATATATATATATATATATATAAAATAAATATGTTGTAGTGGTTCCAACGAGAGAAAAGTATGTATATTAAAAAGAAGAGGGGTGCCGCAAACGTTTTTGGTTGTAATGTGGATTTATTGAGAAAAAATATTATACTTTGTTTTACATAATTTCACGACACGTGTTTCTGGTCTGGTCTTATAAAACCGTCTTCAGGTGAAAGTGGAGATTTTTACATATTATTAAAAATAATTAATTTTTCTTCATGTTCAATGTGGAATATTCTCGATATGAGACATTCTGTTTGTGTGTTGGCAATCCGAATTTTCTTTCTAGAAATATATATATATATATATATATATATATATATATATATATATATATATATATATGATTATTTATATATTGTATGCGCGGTACTTATTAGAAAGTGCTCAATATCAGAGATAGACTAACATATTTAGTTGGAAATGTGACTTTTGACCTATGGTTTTTGCGATCGTCACACAAATTTCTGACGATCGCTAAACGTGAAAACCCCAGGGTCACAAAACATCAAACCAATGTGTTAAATATATATATATATATATATATATATATATATATATATATATATATATATATATATATAATATAAAAAAATCTCTAATATTCCGTGATTATAATTTAGTACATTGGAATCGTAATCACGATCCAAATCATCAGACCTTCACGCCTGATTATTTGGATAATCGAGAATGATTTCGTAATCACGATCCAGATCTTAAGCCCTACAGGTCTGATTACTTGGATCGTGATTACCATTCCAATGTAATAAATTATAATCATGGTATATTAGTGTTTGAGCCTTTTTATTATATTCTTACTCTGTCCTGGACATTGAGTTCTACCTGGATTCTATCCTCTTGGGAATTTATATATATATATATATATATACAGACTGATTAAATTATATATATATATATATATATATATATATATATATATATATATATATATATACGTAAATTACAAATAAATGAAATTCAAAATTATCCCATCTGAATGGCTATTTCGCTCCGTAAAAACGTGTCAGCACTAAAAAGTTAGATAAAATCAAATAAATATGAAGCCTAATTTAAACAAAATTAAATAAGAGACAGGAAGGAAGAAAAGGGGAGGAAAGAAAGAAAAGACTACAAATAAGGGAAAAGAGATGTAAAAGGAGGAAAGAGAAAGACAGAGAGAAAAAAAGAATGAAAAAATAAAAGAACAAAGTAGAGTTGGGGGTAGAGAAGGAAAAAGAGGAATAAAGATTCGTCTAGAGTCTAGATTCTTGACGAAAGTTTAAAAACGGTTGGAAATTTAACATTAGAAAAATTAACCTTGACCTATATTTCAAATGTTAACACTTGCCGAATATCTTTAGGAATTGCAATCCTTAGAACAAAGATAAGGTATTTAAGAATAAAAATATTGTAAAATATTAATATTATAAAATAAGCTAAATAAAAAAAAAATATTAGTATATAGAAAAAATTAATCCGAAATATGAATTTTAATTAAATAGATTAAATGGATAAAACAAAGTCAAAGCTCGTATAATATAAGAGAAATAGAATTAAATTATATAAATTAGAAATTAAATTTAAAGACGCTTGAATGAGGAAATATCAATTACAATTAACCCCATACGTAAATGTAATTAGACAAAAAATGATTAGCAATTAAAAAAGTAACTATGATACATGTAAAAATGTTAAAATAAATAGAATATTAAATATAGAAAAATATCTTTTTAAGGTAGATTTAAAGAAGGCCTTTGAAGAGGGAAATATCAATTATAGTTGACCGCATCCATAAACATAATTTAAAAAAACAAACAACTACAATTTAAAAGACTAATTAAAAGTAAATATGAGTATTAAATATACGTAAAGGAAAATATAACATATGATAAATGTAAAAAAGAAAGATTAATGTAATAATAAATCTAGAAAAATATAATTTTAAGATAAATATAAAGAAACCCGTTGAAGAGGGAAATTTCAGTTATAATTGACTCAATACATAAACATAATTGAACAAAGGACAGCGAGATCGGTTAAAGGCACTCCAGGCTATATGAAGGTTCCGTATAGGATACAGGTTCGCTTCCAGTCAGAGGATAAATATTATCTCGGAACATTCAGCCCGGTAAATGTTGTTTATTATAAGCAGAGAATTTACTTAAATATATGTATCTATAAAAGAAAGTATTTATAAACATAAAAATGTCTTAATATATATATGCTCGGACTGATTATTAAACATCGCTACCTGTATATATATATATATACACTATATGCAGGTAGCGATGTTTAATAATCAGTCCGAGCAATGGTAACTTCTTTTTAGGCCCCATTCTAGAATAACGTTCATTAAATGCATCAACAAGACCAAAAGCTTTTTAAAAAAAAGCCGACATCTTTTATGTAATGTAAATTTCGTCGGATATTTCGCATATTTTATTACACCGAGTAAATTCCATCTATAAATCGATATTAAAATGAATTTAATTATCGACTTGCCAGAAACGGAATGCAATTACCTCAATATAAATTTATCGAAGAAACATTTTGATACATGATTTCATCAATCGTCTTACGATCTCTCTAATTCCCATCCCCCTCTCTCACTCTCTCTCTCTATATATATATATATATATATATATATATATATATATATATATATATAATCTTCATTATCTATCTATCTATCTATCTCAGTCCCTACATTATCTATCTCAGTCTCATTTTCTATCTATTTATGAGTGTAATATATATATATATATATATATA